GCCCCATCCCTCCTACCTTTGATCGAGACTGGCCAAGCTGATGATGGACGTGAAGGTCAACCCCATTCAGGGCTTCTCCATCAAGTGGGACTGTGATAAGAACGAGTGGAAGAAGTGAGGACACCCCCCCCCCCCCCCCCCGCTTGCCAGCTTCCTCTCCTCAGTCGGCATCCTGGAAGCTGCTGTGTCCAATGGTCCATGTTATTAATGACCAGTTTATGTGAATTTTTTTTTCCCGAGACACGGTTTCTCTGTGTAGCTTTTGGAGCCAGCCTATCCTGGTAATTTATCCATTTTCATTGTATTCCGCTAATGTAGAGCATAGAAGTCTTTGTGTAGTGTCTTCAGTTTCTTTTCATTTATGATCTTTTACTTTCTTCCTTAGTTTATTACTAGATACTTGAATTTTTGGGCGGAGTGGTGGTGGAAAGTTGGCTCAGCACTTAAGAGCATTGGCTGCTTTTCCAGAGAACCTGGATTCACCTCCCAGCATCTACTCACATGGTAGTTCACAACCATCTGTAACTGTAGTCACAGGGGATCCAATACCCTCTTCTGACCTCCCTGGGTGCCAGGCATGCAAATGTCACACTGACATGTATTCAGGAAAAACACCCAAATATATAGAAATAAGTAAATAGAAAAGATGAAAACAGTTTGTTCCTTTAAATTTTTAAAATAAACTTAAATTAAAAGTAAAAATTTCAATTTAAATAAGATATTTCCCTAGTTTCTTTCTCAATAAATTTGTTACTGGTATGGAGAAAAGCTACAGATCTGTGTGTTAATTAGTATCTTACACTTTTACTGAAAGTATAAGATCTAAGAGTTTTTGGTAGAGTCCGTAGTCATGTCATGTCAAGTGGTAGTTGCACACGCCTTCAAACCCAGCAGTCAAGAGGCAGAGGCAGGTAAATCTCTGAGTTGGAGGCCAGCCTGGACTACATACTGAGTTCCAGAACAGCCAGAGTTCCACAGGGAAACTCTGTCCCCCCAAAAAAGGAGTCCAGAGTCTTCTAAGTATAGAATTCTGTCATCTATGAGAGAGTTTCTGCCTTTCCTATGATCCTTCTCTTACTGCTCTAGCTAAGACTAGGGTGGCTTTGTTTATCTGGGTTTTTTGTTTTTGTCTTTTTGTTTGTTTTTCAAGGCAGGGTTTCTCTGTGTGGCTCTGGCTGGTCTTGAACTCACAGAGATTCACCTGCCCGGTGCTGGGATTAAAGGTATGAGCCACCACCGCCTGGCTGTCTCGTGTTTTTTGTTTGTTTGTTTTTTCGAAACAGGGTTTCTCTGTGTAGTTTTGGTACCTATCCTGGATCTTGCTCTGTAGACCAGGCTAGCCTCGAACTCACAGAGATCCACCTGACTCTGCCTCCCCACTGCCCAGCCTACTCTTATATTTTAAAACACAATGAGACAGCTGGGCATGGTGGCACAGGCCTTTAATATCAGCACTCTGGAGGCAGAGGCTGACAGATCTCTGTGAGTTGGAGGCCAGCCTGGGCTACATAGCAAGTTCCAAGACATCCAGGAGTACATCGAGGCACCCTGTCTCAAAAAAACACAGTAATCCATTTTCTATAGAGCCAGACTGAATCATGGTTTGGTTTCTCCTAAGATTTTATTAAAACAAAACCAATGGAGTACGTACTGTGGCAAGCACCTTATGGTTCCACCTACCTGAATAGATAAGTTCAAGCTGAGCTTGGGCAAAGATGTGTATTACCTTACTTCTGAACATTTCAGGGTTGTCTAGTTTTTTAGTTGTAACATTATTTGCTAATTTTCTTTTTTTTTTCTTTAAGTTAAAAAAATATTTATATGTATGAGTCTGCTGCCTATGGAGATCAGAAGAGGACATTATTGGATCGCGGAGTTAGGAATACTTGTAAACCACAGTGTGGGTCCTGGGAACTGAACCTGGATCTTCTATGAGAACAAAAGTGCTCTTGACTACTAAGCTACCTCTAGCCCATTTGTTAACTTTCATTGAGAGCAAAGAAAGTGTGTATGTGTGTGCACTCGCTCACGTATGGGTGGAGTGGGGAGACAGTCTTGCTATTGCCCTAGAACTTATAATGAAGATCATAGTGGCTTTGAATTTGTTATAATCCTCTTGGCTCTGCCTCTTGAGTTCTAGGATTGTAGATGTGTGTCACCCACACAGACCAAAGGTTTTCCCTGCAGTTTTCTGTAGAGTGAGAATAAGAATAAAAGTTCATAATACTAAAAACATCTGGTATGTGTAACAGTATCATAGTCGAGAATTAAATGCTGTTATGAGCGTGGGTTTGAGACAGGGTCTCTCTACATAGCCTTGGCTGTCCTAGAACTCACTATGTAGACCAGAGTGACTTCAAATTCAAAGAGATCCATCTACATCTGCCGCCTGAGTGCTGGGAATAAAGACATGTGCCACCATGTCTGGCAAAAAAATACTGTTGTTTCATTTCAGGGAAATGGTTTAAGCTACAAGTGCTTTTTAAAACTGGAACTTTCCTTTAATATTCTCAAGATACTATGATGGAAGGAAATACAAAGTCTGATCTCTGTCCCTTTTGGAGAAGAGTGTGAGTCAGAGGAAATAGAGCTTTGGTCTCAGAGGAATAGAGATGTTTATTCAACTGCCTAGAGATTTTTATCTATTTCTGAACCCAGTTGTGTTCCATTGTTGTATTTTTCTGTCTTTAAGCCAGTGTCCACTATCATACTGTCTGGACTCTGACAGTTGATCATAGTTAGTTTTGAAGTTGTTCAATGCTATCAGGATTGCTTTAACTATTCAAAATTACTAGTATTTCTAAATAAACTTTAGAATTGATTTGGTAGTCTTTTCAAAAGGTTGTTATAACAGGGCTTGTGTTGTGTGTGATTTGGGGAGTCATTTTAGCATAGATTCTTCTTATTTATTTAATGTATGCATATGTTTTGCCTGCACGTGTGACTGGCACTCACAGAGTCCAGAAGAGGGAAATGGATCCCCTGGGATAGGAGTCACCTTGTAGGTGCTGGGAATGGAACCTCCTCTTCAAGGGCAACCATCTCTTCAGCCCCCATTGATTGTTCCTTACAGCTATATCATATATCCTTCTATTTATTTAGGTTTTCTTGATTATTTTTGTTTGTTTTTCTCTCAGAGTGTTCTGTTGTAATGAATGTTGAGATCTTACACATGCTGTTAAGGATTCTTTATTTGGTTGGGCATGATGTTGCACACCTTTAATCCTAGTACTCAGAAGGTAGAGGCAAGCAGTTCTTTGAGTTCTAGGCCAGCCTGGTCTACAGAGAGAATTCTAGGATAGCCAGAGCTATATATATTTTAAAAAGAAAAAGAAAAAAGAAAAAAAAAACTATCTTTAAAAAAAAAAAGCTGGGCAGTGGTGGTACATGCCTTTAATCCCAGCACTCAGGAGGAAGAGGCAGGTAGGTGGATCTCTGTGAGTTTGAGGCCAGTTTGGTCCACAGAGAGAGTACCAGGAAGGCCAGAACTGTTAAACAAAGAAACCCTATCTCGGGGACTGGAGAGATGGCTCAGAGGTTAAGAGCACTGACTGCTCTTCCAGAGGTCCTGAGTTCAATTCCCAGTAACCACATGGTGGCTCACAACCACCTGTAATGAGATCTGGTGCCCTCTTCTGGCCTGCAGTCACATATGCTGTATACATAATAAATAAATAAATCTTTAAAAAAAAAAAGAAACCCTATCTCTAAAAACCAAAAAAAAAAGAAAGAAAAAAAAAGTCAAGATCCAGTCTCTAAAAATTGTATTGAGATAAAAACTTGAGGCTGGCAAGATGTCTCAGAGGTTAAGAATACATATGTTTTTGAAGAGGACCTGAGTTTGGTTCCCAGCACCCATTTCAGGCTGTTCACAACTATTAACTCCAGTTCCTAGTAGATTTGCCACCTTTGACCTTTATAGGCACCCACACTTATGTATATATGTACCCCCACCTACCCATGCACAGGTACATACATACATAATTTAAGCTAAAATAATATTTTTTTAAAGAAAACACTTTTTAAAATCATACTGAAATGTCAGTGACTGAGTGGTTTTTAGCCCTTGCCCAAAATATTTACATTTTAGGGAGCATTTGAGAAGTTTATTTACCTGGTTCCTTTCTAACTTAAAGAATTTATTATGTTTTGTTTTGTTGCTTTGAGACTTTTGAGACAGGGTCTCATTATGTAACCCTGGCTAGTCTGGAACTCATATTGTAGACTAGGCTGAGCTTGACTCACAGATCTACCTGCCTCTTCCTGGGATTAAAAGTGTGTGCCCCTGAGCTTGGCTTTTACAATTGTTTTATATTAGAGTCTATGTGACGTGACAGGAGAAATAGAAAAGTAATTAGATGTGGTTCTTGTTCTTGGAGAACACAGTCATTAGTGAGGAAATTCCCAGTACTCTACTATTTCAGTCTAAGTGACGCTTTTCCTAAAAATTCCAATGCAGAGTTGAGTTATAGTCAGACACAATGGCACAGGCTTGTAATCCCAGTGTAATTTCCCTACCAGTGAAACAGAATCTGCCAGGCCATAACTGATCTGAGCTCTAGATGAGTTTCAGAACAGCTTCACATGCCATTTTAACAATCTTAGGGTCCTAAGACCGACCCTGATGACCCATCTCAGGACTATTTGTCCTTCAGTGCTTTTTACTCCTATGGATCACGTTTGAGTCACTAAAATTGAGCATGAGCTGCTGTGAGTTTTATTGTTTGTTTCTTCTCCCATTGGGTTCAAGTAATACCTGCTTTTGCTTTTGTGAATTTGGAATATCAACATGATTGTTTTATTTTCCTCAACTTTTGGTAAATACTTTTGCCTGTGCCCTTAATATGAAAAGATAATTATCTGTTATTGAGAAAGCCCTGTCAGCAAACTTTGGATAAAACCATTGAATATATTTTCCATTCAATGTAATTACAATTCTTTGAGCAGTGCCTGGGAACCTAATGCATTAAATATGTTCAAATCTCTCTCTTTTATTATAGTTGGAAAGACATCCTTGATCACCAGATTCATGTATGACAGTTTTGACAACACCTATCAGGTATTTTGTTTTTGCCAATTTATTCAATTTATTTCTTAATGTTACAAGAATTGGTTAAGGTATTTTTTTTGGGGGGGGGGTTCGAGACAGGGTTTCTCTGTGTAGCTTTGCACCTTTCCTGGAACTCACTTTGGAGACCAGGCTGGCCTCGAACTCACAGAGATCCGCCTGGCTCTGCCTCCCGAGTGCTGGGATTAAAGGCGTGCGCCACCACCGCCCGGCGGTTAAGGTATTTTTAAAAGTTCATTTATTTACATGCAATCACAGATACACAAGTGCATTCTATGGGCGATGGTGGTTTATGACTTTAATCTCAGCAGTTGGGAGGCAGAGGCAGGTGGATCTCTTGAGTTCCATTCCAGGACAGTCACAGAGAAACCCTGTCACAGAGAAACCAAAAAAAGGGGGAAAAGTGCTTTCAATAATTTCAGTAATGTGTAAATGGTTATATAAACACAAAGTATAAATGATCTTGTCCATAATCCTAGCCTTACTCAGTTTGCTTCTTTCAAAGTCTATTGAAAAATTATATTTAATATCTTGGAGGGAACTAGAAGTGATACTAGATTTTTTTTGTAATAGAGAATTCATCCAAGTCTGAGATTGGGAATTAATTTCAGTTTATGATGTCAGAGGATTCAGGCCATCATGACAGGACAGTTGTAGTGGACTAACTAGTTCAGTTCACTTGTCAGTGGATCAGAAGCAGGAAGGGACATGCCATCATGCAGCCACTTCTTTCCTTTTTCCTCTTTTTCCTTTAGATTCATTCGTTTTATTTTTATTTATTTTTTTTTTAAAGATTTATTTATTTATTATGTATACAGAAGAAGGTACCAACTCTCATTACAGATGGTTGTGAGCCACCATGTGGTTGCTGGGAATTGAACTCAGGACCTCTGGAAGAGCAGTCAGTGCTCTTAACCTCTGAGCCATCTCTCCAGCCCTCATTCGTTTTATTTTATATGTGAGTGTTTTGCCTGCTTTTATGTCTGTGCACCACGGGCATGCTTTGTGCCCGTGGGGTCAGAAGAGGGCATTGGATCCCCTGGAACTGGAGTTATGGATGGTTGTGAACCATGTGAGTGCTGGGAATTGAACCTGCTTTCCTGCAAGAGAACTGCTCTTAACTGCTGAGCTGTCACTGCAGCCCCCATGTCCCAGTCGTTTTTAATTTATCTTCCTGTTTAATTTTAGACTTCCTTAACTTGTCCAGTTTTTTTCTAGTTTTTGCCTTTTAAAATTATTATTTAACCAGGCACACAATATTTTGCACTGTATTTGGATCACAGGAAATACTTAGCATTGAATGATAAAGAGAAAATTTGTTTTCCTTACTTTAATACATTATTTATATATTAGAAGAGTCATGTCCCTCTGAAAATCATACTTCTGGGTCTCTGGCTCTCTGTAGCACCAGAACAAGCCATTATGTGGGAAGTTTAGGCATGGTTACATTTGCATCAACAGTATTTCATAAAATTGCTGTGGGAGCAGATAAAGCCATTTTGACTTGGGAGCATTAGGTTATTCAGACTAAGATTGTATTCAAATATTTGAATATTCTGGTAAAAATATACCAGAAATTGTCCCCATTGTCTTGTTCTCTATAAAATGAGAAAAATTAATATGAGAATGAGTTATCTTTAATGAATGAGGATGAGAGTTGATCACATAAAGGGCTCGAAGTAATTAGTCTCCAACACAGAGCAAGTTCTCACTTGGCTAAAGTGTGGTTATGTGTATATTCATTATTTCTTTGAAATTCATAAATCCTATTTATAACCTAAACTGTTGGCTACAACCAAGCTATTATCACTTGCTAACTCTTTTGTTTTGTTTTATAGGCAACAATTGGCATTGACTTCTTATCAAAAACAATGTACTTGGAGGATCGAACAGTGAGTAATGTTTTGAGTGTGCAGTTTTCTGCAACACTCCAGGCTGGAAAACTAGAATCACAGCTGTAGTCAGTAATTGTCACTATCAAAAGTGCTTAGCAAAATCATCAATATTAGATCTTGAGAAAAAATTTATTACAGAGTTGTTTTTGGCACTCTGATTTCTTCCATTTCATATCCAAAGGAAGAAAGTCAAAATTTGTTTGTAAAATCCTGATGTCCTTAGGTTTATTTTGCTGTCTTGATTTAGGAGAAGAACAGCAGATCAATTTATAAGAGAATTAAAGGAATTTTCATGAAGAAATTAGAGCTACTAAAGATCTTTTGAGCACCACTCAGGATCTTTTGAGCACCACTCAGGTTATTCAGAAAGGTTTCATAATTTGTGAACTTAAAGACCGTCTGAGTAGAACATGTAACAGAGTGGTTAAATAGGGGAAATACATATTTATCTTTCAGATTTTTATCTTCCTTATTGTTGAGTGTTCCTTAAAGAAAATTATATTTTGGCCTACTCCTCCTTGAAGAGATTCCTATCATCACTTAAATAGTGAATAACTTTATGTATCCAAAATAACTCCAAAATAGTACATTACCTCTAATATTTTTTCTTATTTCTGAAGTATGTCATTTTTTTCCTTTTGGATGTTTTCACATATAATATAGCTTTTCTTAAAACTTGAGAGCTTGGAAACTGCTTTGTCTGGGTAAGAAAACTTATTTTTAGGATTTTCTATAATGTGGATGTGGCAGAAAAAAAGTAAAGCATTTTTATGTAAGATTGCAAAAATATATTCTCTTTTTTTCTTTCTCCTTCCCCATTATGCATAATGTTCCGGGCAGAAGTGTATAGAAGAAGCATACACATAGTAGTCACAGACCCAGGAAACACACATCTTAGCTTTAGAGAGGTTTTTAGAGAAGCATTTCCTTTCTTTACTCTGTCATCTGATAGCTTTTGTTAACATTTACCTTCATCTCTTTTATGGTCAGTATTTGAACATCAACCCTACTTTTTGTCATTTGGAAGACACTGGGATTCAAAGTTCAGGGAGCGGTGAAAGCTCTGTTTCTGATTGTGTGAAATCTTTCACAAAGCATTTTCAGTATTGTACCTTCAGAACAAGCAACTTCATAATACTGAGTTTTATGTTGTTTTCATTCCTCTGCATTAAAACTCTACATGAGTTGTCTACTACTCATATTACAAAATCATTCCTTTTTTTAAGTATTAGTTTTTCGGGTTTTTGTTTTGTTTTTTGTTTTTATTTATTTTTTCCCATCCCACAGATCAGGCTGCAGCTGTGGGATACTGCGGGTCAGGAACGTTTCCGTAGCCTCATTCCCAGTTACATCCGTGACTCTGCTGCAGCCGTAGTAGTTTACGATATCACAAGTAGGTATACTGCAATAGGTTGACCTTTCTTACTTTTCTTGCTTGTTTGACTGATTTTGTTGTTAGGTGCGATTGCAATTATGGGACACAGCAGGTCAAGAGCGGTTCAGGAGCTTGATTCCTAGCTACATTCGTGACTCCACTGTGGCAGTTGTTGTTTATGATATCACAAGTGAGTGGGGGGAATTATGCATTTCTAATCTTCTTTCAACCTTTAGCTTAGCTGCATGCATGTTTTGTCTCGTGCTTGTTTTCCTTACTGGCATGTAAAATGTTTTATCATAGCAAACTGTATCACAGACTAGCCAAGTCAGAAATACTTGCCTCCGTGTTTGTACCAATATGCTTTATTTCTCTATGCCAGTGTTTCCACCTTCAGATCTACTTGTGAATCTTTTTCAAGGCTTCTGTACTATTTTCTTATCCATAAACTATCCCATAATTAGAGTTAAAGGAATATTATTCATTAATTTATCTCAGATTTCAAAGATAATCTGTATTTAAGCCTCTTGCCAAGTATTCCAGATCCTACATGGCTTCTTTTGAGGCTTTTTAAAGTTTCCACCAGCTAGCGTTTTCTCTGCTTCCCTCTTCCAGTCATTCTCTTACATAGAGAAAAACAGAGAAGCATAATGTGTATTTTTCTGTTAGTCATTTTTGTTAGAATATGTGGATTCTGTGGCTGGTTTTCTTTGTTGCTAACCAATTAAACTTTCATTTCTCTCCAAGAAAATAATTTAAATGGGAAATGAAACAGTATTTTTCTTTTCTTCAAAACCTGAATGCCTTTTGGTCTTTAAGTGACTATAAATTTTCCATGGGGCATTGGTTACTGCTCTCTGGTTGAAATTATCTTTGTAAATTGTCTTATTACACATGTAAGGCAATACTTAACATCATTCCATAGACTAGTCCATAATTTATAGGGAAAAAACAAGGTTATACAGCATCTTGGACTTGTGTAAAACTATCATGTCTAGCCGGGCGGTGGTGGCGCACGCCTTTAATCCCAGCACTCGGGAGGCAGAGCCAGGCGGATCTCTGTGAGTTCGAGGCCAGCCTGGGCTACAGAGTGAGTTCCAGGAAAGGCGCAAAGCTACACAGAGAAACCCTGTCTCGAAAAACAACAACAACAAAAAACTGTTATGTCTAAGCAGCTGATTTCAGCTAGTCATATTACCAGAAATTTTTTGTGTATTCACTCAAAAGTCATAGTTACTAAACAGTAATTACAGTGGCAAAATTAAGAAAATTATATTCCACAATGTATTTTTCTTCTTTTTTTCTTAACTTTTTTGGATATGTGCTGTATGCAGTCTTTCTCCTCTTGCAGCTTTACTTTAGGTTGCTACTTTTTTAAAAAAAATAATGTTCATTATAATGCATTGGCTGGTTTTGTAGCTTTAAAGTGTTTGTGTTTACTTTAACCAAAGCTTGTCATATTTTTCTTCTGAAATTCCATGAATGTGGTTAAAACACTAATAAATTTGTTACTTTAGCTGCTAAAAAGTATATTGAAGTATTCTAGCTAGAATACTTAACAAGAATGAATTCTGTTAGAAGTGAGCCTGATAAATCAAACTAATTAGCTTAAGGTCACTTCACATAGACTCTAATATAAAACAAATGTAAGAACCAGGCTCCGTGGCACACCTTTAATCCCAGGAAGAAGCAGGTAGAGGCAGAAGAAAGGGTTTTTTTTTTTTGTTTTTTTTGTTTTTTGTTTTTGTTGTTGGTTGGTTGGTTTGTGTGGGGTTTTTTGTTTTTGTTTGTTTGTTTTCCTCGAGACAGGGTTTCTTTGTGTAGCTTTGGAGCCTGTCCTGGAACTCACTCTGTAGTCCAGGCTAGCCTCGAACTCACAGAGATCCGCCTGCCTCTCCCTCCCGAGTATTGGGATTAAAGGCGTGCCCAGCTCAGAAAGGATTTTTTTAAATGTGGTTAAAGTGATCACAAACTGAGGAAGCAGTGCAAGCACAGTGGTGTTGAAAGCCTTCAGGAATTTTCTGGATGTGTTGGGACTTCTGGCTGACATCATTTTGAAATGCTTTCTTTGTCATGTTTGGTATGTACTAGTATAAGTGATCAAAAAAAGCATTGTGGCAATGTAACACCATATTATCTGCTGTAGCTGTCTTTAGATGTCAGAAAGCATTGGTTTTTATAATTATGTAGTGCTTTACAATAGTTTGGTTATTGTCAAAAAAAAACTTTTCTCTAAAATGAGCTTTGAGGATTTTTTTTTTTCTTCAGACTCATTTAGATTTAGACAGTTATAATCAGGTAAAATGGAGTTACGTTGCAGGCACATTAAAAATGGGGTCTTAATGTGCTGTCCCCCTTCCCTCTTTCAGAGTGTTTGTGGGAAGTGTTGTCCTTAACTGGGGTAGCATTTTCAATGACACTAATCCCTCTGTCCACTCTCAATGCTAGATGTTAACTCATTCCAGCAAACTACAAAATGGATTGATGATGTCAGAACAGAAAGAGGAAGTGATGTCATCATCATGCTAGTAGGAAATAAAACAGATCTTGCTGATAAGAGGTATGAAATAACTGAATGTTTGGTTTCTATGTTAAGCAGCATGTTTGTTTACTAAAAATTGTTTTTGAAAAGTAGACCTTTCATTTTATACCCCCCCTTTTTAAGGGAGATACATTTGTTTTGTCTAAGCCCATAAACAGCTCTTTTACAGAATTGTTACAAATGAAGCCAGCAAATATTTTCTGTTTTCTTAAGGTTTAATAAATGGAGCAGTGTTTTGTTAAAGAGCAAACTACATCAAGTAACTTATCTTTAAAAAATATTCATAATAATTAAAAACACATACTTGTCGTCTTAGAAACGTTCATATAATTTTATTATAATTCAGTGATGTGGGGTTTTTGATTGTGTGGTTGCACCAGGCTTAGCTGAGTATGAATAGCTTGATTGTAACACCTTCGTCAAATGAGCAAAGCTCATTCAAGTCACAAGATGCAAAGTGTATTAACATTCACTGTAGAATTCATGTGCATGGCTTTCAGCATTCATAAGTAGTCTTTTACATATTCTTTCTGCTTTAGTCTTGACCACACTGTTTAATTAGTGGAGCTTTTACTATTTATTACTTACTCATTTGTGAGTTGAATATTGAAATTCAGGTGATGAACTTGTGCTGTTAACTAAAATGTTGGAGTGTGATCTATGTGTAAAGAATTTTGGAGATGTTAAGCCTATTTCTGCCCAGTAGCAGAAATAGAATTGGTAGTATAATTGGGAAAAAAAAAATTGTTTGTTTTTGAGATAGGGTTTCTCTGTGTAGCTTTGGCTGTCGTGGAACTTATTCTTGTAGACCACCAGGCTGACTTCAAACTTAGAAACCTATCTGCCCACCTCAGCCTCAGTACTGAGATTAATGGCGTGAGCCACCACCACCTGGCACAGTTTACATTTTTTTTTTTTTTTTTTGGTTTTTTTTGAGACAGGGTTTCTCTGTGTAGCTTTGAGCCTTTTCCTGGATCTTGCTCTGTAGACCAGGCTGGCCTCAGACTCACAGAGATCCGCCTGCCTCTGCCTCCCGAGTGCTGGGATTAAAGGCGTGCGCCGCCGCCACCGCCCGGCTCAGTTTACATTTTTAACAGTTGGTAAATCATTACATAAATTATAGCAGCAAATTGGCATGAAAAGTTTTTATGTAAAATTTAGAGTCACAAGGCTAAATGCATATGGTTTAATATTTTTAATGTTTTATTTTTTTTTAATTTTTATTTATGTGTATGTGTATACCTACTGCATGTGCTCAGGTGCCCACCCAGACCATAAGATGGCATCAGACTCATTGGAGTTAGAGACAGTTGTGAGCTGCCCAATATGGGTACTAGGAACCAAACCTGGGTCACTGGCAAGAGCAACAAGTACCTTTAACCACTGAGTCATCTCTCTAGCCCCTTTGTGATTTGGTATTAAGGGGGAAAAGCAGGTTTTGTTTTGTAGATGGTTTTTGTTTGGGGCAGTGCTGAATGTAGGACAGTGTGTAAAACAAGTGTTCTACCACTGAGCCACATCCCAGCCTCTTAAGATTTGTTTTATTTATTTTGGATGTGTATTTGTGATAGGGTGTTACTCTTAAACCCAGGCTTGCCTAGCACTCATATCGACCAGGCTGACCTTGAACTCAGGATCTTCCTCCCTCCCTGAGAATTGGGATTATAGGTATAAGCCACCACATGCAGCCCAATCACAAACTTTCTAAAGGTGAAAAGAAGGGCAGGCTGGTGATGGCTCAGTAGGTAAAGGCACTTACCATAAGCTGGATGACCTGAGTTTGATCCCTGGGGTCCACATGGGGAAAGGGGAGAACTGACTTCCGCATGTGTGCCCACACAGGTACACAGACAAATGGTTTTTAAATGAAAAGATTGGGGCTGAAGGTATCACTTAGTTGGTAGAGTACTTGCCTAACATGCACAAGGCCCTGCATTTGAGTCCCCAGCACTGCTTAAAACCAGGTGTGTTAAGTAAGATATGCCTGTAATCCCAGCATTTGAGTGGTGAAAGCAGGAAGATCAGAAATCATCTTGAGCTAATAAATTCTAGGCCAGCCAAGGATACATGAGATTCTACCTCTAAACAAAAGCATCCAAAGAGTTCAGCCAAATAAAAATAAATTAGTAAAGTAAATCTTAGTTTTATGGGGTGTAAATGTAATTCAGTGTAGATGTAATTCAACGGTTTTATCAGACAAGAAACACAGAGCCGATTCAGAGAAGAAAGCCAAGAGGTCAGAGCCAAGAGCCTCACCCTTCCTGATTCAGGGATCTTCCTCAGCCAAGAGAGCTCTCCGAAAGAGAGCCCTACTTCCTGTGTGTCTCTCAAGTCTCTCTGTTCTGGCTTCTGATTGGTTGTAAACCCAATCATGTGACTGCCTCGTCACTGCCTGTATGTACCGCCCTCCAGGTCCTTAAAGGCGTACGCCACCACTGCCACGCACTTGCTATGGCTCTAATAGCTCTGACCCCAGGCAACTTTATTTACCACCACAATGGGGCTAGGGAGATAGTTTGGTGGATAAGAGCACTTGCTGTAAGGAAACTTCCAGGAGCCTACAATGATGGTGGCCCCAGCTAAGTCTCCTGGCAGCAGTGGATGCATAGTCTAAACAGGCCATCCCCTGTGATCGGGTTGGTGACTACCCTGATTGTCAGCTGAGAGCCTTCATCCAGTGACTGACTGATAGAGGCAGGTTCAAAGACCCACAGCCAAACATTGGGCCAAGCTCAGGAAGTCCTGCTGAGGAGAGGGAGGAGGGATTGTAGGAGCTGGGAGTTGGAGGTATCAGGAACGTCAGAGGAAAGCCCTCAGAAATGGCTACCCTGGCTCATGGGAACTCATAGAGTCAGAACCAACAACCAAGGCACCTTGCATACGACAGTTGTGTAGCTTGCTCTATTTGTGGACTCGTAACAGTGGGAGCAGGGGCTGGCCCTGGTGATTTGCCTCTTGGGAACCTCATCCTCATGCTGGATTGCCTTGCCCAGCCTGAATACAGGGGAAGTGTTTGGTCTTACAAGGCAGCTTGGTGTGCCATGAGAGTCCTGCCCCTTTCTGAGCAAATACAGAGGAGGCGGGCAGTGGGAGGAGAGGAGAGAGGGGAGGCTGTGGTCAAGATGTAAAATTGATTAATTTTTTTAAAAAAGAGCACTTGTGCAAGCATGAGGACCTGAGTTCAGATTCCTAGCACTTAAAAAGCCAGGTGTGGCCATGCCTTCTTAACTCCAACACTAGGGGCACAAAGACAAGAAGATTGCTAGGACTGCCTGCCTAGTAGTGAGAGACCCTGTTCAAGCGACTGTAGTAGATAACTGTAGGGAAGCATAACTTGTTCTTTTCTCATCTTGGCACATATTCACCCAGGTACAGTCACCAGGACCTACACACACATACACACACACACACAGATTTTTTTTCCCCCCCAGACAGGGTTTCTCCGTGTAGTTTTGGTTCCTGTCCTGGATCTTGCTCTGTAGACCAGGCTGGCCTCAAACTCAGAGATCCGCCTGGCTCTGCCTCCCAAGTGCTGGGATTAAAGGTGTGTGCCACTACTGCCGGCTACACACAGATTGTTAAATTGGGGCTGACAATGTACTTAAGTTTGTAGAGGACTTAACTTAGAACATGCACAAAGCTCTGAGTTCACTCAAAGGCACTGTGTAATGCCATGGCAGCGTGTCCATATAATTCTAGTACCTTGTGAGGTTTGAGGCAAGAGGATCAGAAGTTCAGGGTCATCCTCGGCTACAAGAGACTCTGTTTATCTGTCTTTCTGTCTTTCTTTCTTTATTTTTTTATTTTTTATTTCTTTATTTTTGAGAAAAGGTTTCTCTGTGTAGCCTTGGCTGTCCTGGAACTCACTCTGTAGACCAGGCTGGTCTTGAACTCAGAGATCAGCCTACTCTTGCCTTCCCTCCTGAGTGCTGGAATTAAAGGCATGCACCACACCTACCCTGAGATGCTTGTCTTTTTTTCTTTTTAAGTCATTAAGGGGCTGGAGAGGTGGCTCAGAGGTTAAGACTACTGGTCGCTCTTTCCAGAGGACCTGGGTTCAATACCTAGGACCCATATGATGCTCACAACCATTTGTAGCTATAGCTCCAAGGGCTCCAATGCCCTCTTCTGAAAGCCTCCGTAGGTACTAATCATGCATGTGGCAAATAGACATACATGCAGGCACAACACCTATACACATGAAATATAGTTTAAAAAAGTCATTAAGCTGTATATGCTCATTTGTATAGCTCTTGCCTAGCATGTTTAAGAGTCTAAGTTTGCCGGATAGTGGTGGCGCACACCTTTAGTCCCAGCACTGGGGAGACAGAGCCAGGCAGATCTCCGTGAATTTAAGGCCAGCCTGGTCTACAAATTGAGATCCAGGACAGGCACCAAAACTACACAGAGAAACTCTATCTCAAAAAAAAAAAAAGACTCTTGGGCTGGAGAGATGGCTCAGAGGTTAAGAGCACTCACTGGCTGTTCTTCCAGAGGTCCTGAGTTCAATTCCCAGCACCCACATGGTGGCTCACAACCATCTGTAATGAGATCTGGCTCCCTCTTCTGGCCTGCAGAAATACATGCAAACAGAACATTGTATACATAATAAATAAATAAATCTTTAAAAAAAAGTGTCTAAAAAAAAAAAAAAAGACTCTTAAGTTCAGTTCCAGTATGGCGGTGGAACATAAATATACACACAAACACAGACATGTATAGCTCTTAAGTGCTATAGACAGTTAAGTTTCCAAACTAATGGCTGTTTATATAACCAACATCAATAGAACTTTGTTTATAATCTTACGATTTCATATTTCAAAAATAAGAATTTGTTGCCAGGTGTGGTGGCACATACCTTTGATCAATCCTAGCACTTGGGAGGCAGAGGCAGGCTGATTTCTGTGAGTTGAGTTTGAGACCAACCCAGTATACCAAGGGAGTTCCAGAACTACAAAGAGAATCCCTGTCTCAAAAAACAAATGAATAAATAAGCATTTGTCATTTAAAAATTTTTTTTCTATAGGCAAGTGTCAATTGAAGAAGGAGAGAGGAAAGCCAAAGAGCTGAACGTTATGTTTATTGAAACCAGTGCAAAGGCAGGATACAATGTAAAGCAGGTAAGTTTTCTTTGAGTGTGAATGTTTGATCCTAAATTAAGAAAATGTGAAATAATTGTTAGTAAGCTGATCTTTAGTATAAGGTTTTATTTCCCTTAGCAACAGCAATTAGAATTCAGAGAGTGAGAAAAAATAGCTGGCATAGTTTTTGTAAAAAGAAAATATTTACAAACTGTTCAGATTGTACACAGAATAACAAATTCATCATGATTGCAATATTTCTGAGTGTAAAGTTTTGAACTTCCCATAGTCTCACTAATCCCTGCTTTATTGTCTTAAATGTAGATTTTCCTTATTTCAGAATTTGGTAGTCAAGACTAATACATGAAAACTAGTATTTGCTTACTATAAAAGTACATTCTGATTACTTCATTCTTTATAAACTGCTGATATTTAAATTTTACAAAAGGCAGCTGGGCAGTGGTGGTGCATGCCTTTAATCCCAGCACTCTGGAGGCAGAGGCATGGCAAAGTACCAGTGACCACATCCCCAAAGGTTGTGGGGAGGATTCTCTGTCCCCAACAACCATCGGTGGGAATAGCTCCTCAACTAAGAGTGGGGCTTTGTTAGCTCCTCCCCAACCCATGCTGAGATTTTGACTGGCTTGTACTTGTACAAATCTAGGCACCCACAGTTAATGTTAGTTCATGGATGCACAGGCCATATCACATCAAGAAGACAGCAATTCACAGCATTCCTTCAACCCCTTTTCTGAGATGTTCACTGAGCCTTGGGGGTGGAGGTGAGTTAGTGAGCACTCACACGCTTATTCTCAGCAGTTTGACCAGTTATTAGTCTCTGTATTAGCCACTATAGCCGCTGCCAGCTGCAGAAAAATTTTGTGAACAAGGCTCAGAGCAGCATGAATAATCTATGGATATAAACACAAGTATTTAGGCTGAGCATGGTGGCACACGCCTTTAATCCCAGCACTTGGGAAGCAGAAGCAGGCAGATCTCTGTGAGTTCCAGGACAGCCAAGACTACATAAAGAAACCCTGTCTTGGGGGGGAAAGAAAAAGCATTTAATTGGGGGCTTGCTTGTAGTTTCAGAAGGTGAGTCTGTGACCATCATGGCGGGGAACATGGCAACAGGCAGGCAGGCAGGCAGGCATGATGTCAGAGCGGTATCTGAGACCTTCCTTACATCTGATCCTTGAGCAGGAGGAAGAGAAAGAGAGCTAGCTAAGTGGGAATGGCTGGGCTTTTGAAACCTCACAGCCCACCCCCAGGGACACACTTCCTCTAATAAGGCCACAACCCTTGATCCTTCCCAAACAGTTCCACCATCTGCAGACCAAGCATTCAAATATATGAGACTATGGGGGCCATTCTCATTCAAACCATCACACATATAAACAACTAAATATATAAATAGTTTACTGAGTCCATTCAGTGTCACTTGCACATATGTTTCTAGGGCTGACTACCTGGTATTGGATAACCTTTAGGGGGCTCATTTCTGGAGAAGACTAATCCTCCCTCTTTCAGAAGTTGTTAATTGCTTATAGCTCTTCTAGGAGTGGGGCCCAATAAGATTTTCCCCATCTACATTGTGATGTCAGCTGTTTTTGGAATTGTTCAGTCCTTGTTTAAGCAGCCTAGTTGGGAGATTATAAATTATTGCTTCAGTCTCACTGCTTGTTACAGATCTATTTAAATTGTCTCATTTTGGTTTAATTTTGGAAGGTCATATGCCTCTAGAAATTTACTCATTTCTTTTAGCTCTTCCATTGTAGTGGAATGTTTTTTTATGTAAGACTTAATAATTTTTTGAGTTTCATTGACATTTGTTGTAACAAATCCCTTTTCATCTGTAATTTTACTAATTACAAAGGTCTTCCCTTCGGTCAGTTTGACTAAAGGTTTGTCTTTTCTTTCCCTTTTTTTTTTTTTTGGTTTTCGAGACAGGGTTTCTTTGTGTAGCTTTGCGCCTTTCCTGGATCTTGCTCTATAGACTGGGCTGGCCTCGAACTCACAGAGATCCGCCTGCCTCTGCCTCCTGAGTGCTGGGATTAAAGGCGTGCCACCAATGCCCAGCATCTTACCTTTTCAAAAAAACCAACTCTTTTCATTGTTTGTTCTTGGTCCCATTTCATTAATTTCTGCCTTGATCTTAGTGATTTCTTTCCCTCTGCTGATTTAGAATTTGGCTTCTTGTTCTTTTTCTAGAGCTTAAGGTGCATCATTAAGTCACTTGAGTCTCTGATTTCTTAATGTAGGCACTTAGAGCTATAAACTTCCTTCTTAGAACTGCATTCATTGTATCTCAAGGGTTTGGTATGTTGTGTTTTCATTTTCATTTGATTCTAGGAATGCTTCTTTTTATTTATTGTTTGAATTCTTCAAGAACCTATTTATTCATTTATGTTGTTTCTTCTCCATGAGTTTGTGTGCACTCTAGAGTTTCTATTGTTTTCTTCAAGCTCAGATATTCTGTCCTCTCCTTGATCCATTCTATTACTGACACTTTCCGTGAAGCTTTTTATTTGACTTTTACTATACTTTTCCAGCATTTCAGATTGGTTTTTCTTCATTTGGAAGGTTTCCTCCAGTCCCACTTGGTCCCGTAGCCGCTCAGACCCAAGTAAACACACAGAGGCTTATATCAATTACAAATTGCATGGCCATGCCCTATGGCTCAATTTTTTTGCTAGCTAGCTCTTATAACTGAACTCAGCCCATTTCTATTAATCTATATGTCCCCATGTGTTCCTTTACCTGTGTGCCATTACATGCTGCTCCCTGGACAGCAGAATGGCGTCTTTTCTGCCTCTCCCTTCTTCTTCCTGTCTCTCTCCTTGATTTCCCACCTGCCTCTTAGCTGCCTTGCCATAGGCCAAACAGCTTTATTTATCAACCAATCAGAGCAACACATATTTCCAGCATACAGAAAGACATCTCACAGCAGTATATCTTTTTGTTGAATCCCTCTTTTATATCATCCATCACCTTACCTATTTTGTTCAGCTGTTTTCATGTTGAACATAATATCTTACATTGAGTTCTCTGGGGTTTCATCTGGTTTCACTAGTTGCCATTTACTGTAGGGTTAATAATTTTTAGAGGAGTTATGCCATCTGGGTTTCGATAGTTTTACTGCTTAGGGGTTTTACAAATGGTGTTATTTTGTTTCTTGGGTTTGTTTGTTTTCTATATTCTTCCAGTTGAATTACTTGCGATATTCAGGTGGGACTTGGATATGCTAGAATTGAGTGTGTGGTCCAGAAGTTCAGGGTGTCTGGTGTAAGCTCTGTATTGTTCCCTGAGTAGGATATTGACTTAGAGAGAAACTATAGCTGTTTGGTTACACCACTGTGCAGAAGTCATACTATCTAGTTCATAGTTTATAGCTATTGACTTCAATAACTGTTAAGGATAAACAACCATAAGTAGTATGGAGTAGACTTTAATTTTAGTTAGTAAGGTTGGGAGAGACGTTGGGTGAATAAGGATAAGGATTACATATTAGATGAGTTTGGGCCTGGGGGTAAAAATTGAGATGGGGCTGGTCAGTGGTGGCGCACGCCTTAGATCCCAGCACTCGGAGGCAGAGGCAGGAGGATCTCTGTGAGTTCAAGGACAGTCAGAGCTGTTACACAGAGAAACCTTATCTCAAAAAAACAAAAAAAAAAAAAAAAAAAAGAAAGGGAATAAAATAGATCCCTCATGTCCCTGCATTCACTATGGCCTTTTCTGGTCCTGCAGATCTGGTGTATGTCAACAGTATAGTTTCCCTTGTCCTATTATTGTGTTACTGTATATTGTTTCAGATCTGTTAAACATTTTATATTTTGGTGTGCTAATGTTGGGTGTATATATACTTAATAATTTTTTTTATGAATTGACTTTTTATCACTATATAGTAGCTATAAGATGACAGTAATAAATCCTTACTAACAGTTATCTTGAAGGCCTTAATTTGCCTTCTTTGGTGTTTTTTTTTTTTTGTTTGGTTTGGTTTTTCGAGACAGGGTTTCTCTGTGTAGCTTTGTGCCTTTCCTGGAACTCACTCTGTAGCCCAGGCTGGCCTTGAACTCACAGAGATCCTCCTGGCTCTGCCTCCCAAGTGCTGGGATTAAAGACGTGTACCACCACCACCTGTTAGTTTGCCTTCTTGATGCTGTCTTCTAACCTAAAAGCTGCATCCTCTCCTTGCCATCCTGTGGTCATCATCTTAATACTTTCTCTTCCACAGCTTTTCCGACGTGTTGCTGCAGCTTTACCTGGAATGGAAAGCACGCAGGACAGAAGCCGAGAAGACAGTATCCTTTTTGTTTCTTAAGGAAAGTTTACTGGCTAGCCAGGCATTGTGGCACACATCTTTAACCCCAGCAGAGGCATGCAGGCCTCCATCTACACAGTGAATTCCAGGACAGCCAGGTCTGTGTAGAGAGGCTCTTTCTCAAAAAACAAAAAAAATTACTGTTACTACTCCTCTTTGGAGCCTTACTTAGGTGAGTTATTATTTACTTGTTGCTGGGACAAACGAACCTGACAAAAGCAGGAAGGATGGAAGGGTTTGTGTTGCCTCACTGTAGGATGCAGTGGGAAGATACAGCAGCAGAGTCACTCACTTGAGAGGGCGAGGCAGTTGGCCATGTTCTTCTGCAGTCAGGAAGCAGAGGGGAATGCTGATATTTATTCAGTCCAGGACCCCAGCCTGTGAAATGATGTCATCCATATCCAGTGTGGGTCTTTCCACCTCAGACCTCTCTGGAAATGTTCGCAGACACTCAGACGTTCATCTCCTGGATGTTAAGGAGTTGGTCAAGTTGCCAATCAAGATTAACTGTCACAGTTGGCTGTTATCTTGAATGTAAAAATTGGTTTCCTAGATGCACAGAAACTCAGGATTTCTGTAGCAAATTAGACCCAGTTATCCAGATGGACCTAGCTTCTTATTGTAATTCAGATTTTGTTGCTTGCTCCCTTGCTCTTTTTTTCTGTTCTGTGGTGGGGTGGAGTTTGTTTAGAATACTTATTTATTTATTTATTTTGGTCTTGAGATAGGCTTGATTTCAGGGTAGCCTCAAAACTTCTGACCCTTGACCTTCCAAGTATAAAGGTTATAGGCATGTACTGGCTAAGTAGGTCTTCATGTGTTACCGGGGGTTTTACCGAGGTTTCCTACCTGCAGAGCATGCCTCTGCCAACTGAGCTGCAGCTCCATCCCTCTTGCTCTTTATTTTTTTTAAGATTGCTTGCAGAACCACAAAAGCCAGAAGAGGTCATCAGGTCCCCTGGAGCTGGAGTTACAGATAGTTGTGAGCCACCCAGCGTGAGTGCTCAGAACTGAACTCAGATCCTCTGAAGAGTAGTAAGCACCCTAAACTGCTGAAACTTATCTCCAGACTTCCTCACTTGCTTTTTATTAAGCAAACAAAGACTCCCAGTCTCCTGATGTTGCATTTTAAATCCCTTTGACTCTGGGTTTTTCCAGACTTGGCACAAGAAATAACTCAGAATGAAACTGTGTTGTAGCGTCTTATTGTAAGAACAGGACATAACAAAACACATCTAATGATCAGTTATTTCCTTTTTTTTTTTTTTTTTATTTTATTTTTTTTTTTAATTTTATATGCATTAGTGTTTTGCCATGGGTGTCCAGTCCCCTGGAACCGGAGTTACAGACAGTTGTGAGCTGCCATGTGGGTGCCGGAAATTAAACCCAGGTCCTCTGGGAAAGCAGTCAGTGCTCTTAACCATTGAGCCATCCATCTCTCCAGCCCAATCAGTTATTTCTAAGAGTTTTGATTGGATATTTTCACATGAAGCCAAGTTTATTAAGCTGAAGACTTCATGACACTGTATTCTATGACTCACATTTCTAAATGTTTAATATTTTTCAAGTCTTTACTATTTTTATTACTTTTTTTTTAGTATTTTTATTACTTTTAATATAAATTCTACTGAGTTGGAGTAACATTATAAATTTTCCCCCTTATTTGAATTACTTTGTAGGGTATGGTCAAACTCTTACTATATATAATTCTTTAAGGAATATCATCTTCATATAGTTTTCTTGTTCATACAGAATAATTTTCTTAGAATAGATTACCATGAATAGGGCTCATTTCATTGAGTCTTGTTACATATAAGAGATACATATATCTAAAAGGTAATGATTGAATAGGTCTGAAGTCAAATACAGGTAGAAAGGGCTTGCCAGAGATGTCAGAGTTCAGCAGAGTTAGAATTGTACTTTCTGTATATGACTCCTTAACTTTTGTTTCAGTGATTGACATAAAACTGGAAAAGCCTCAGGAGCAACCAGTCAGTGAAGGAGGCTGTTCCTGCTAATCTTCCCCTGGCATCTTCAACCCTTCTGCAGAAGCTCACTGCTTTGGCCCCCATATTCTTTCATTGACTGCAGTGTGAATATTGGCTTGAACCTTTTCCCTTCAGTAATAACGTATTGCAATTCATCATTGCTGCCTGTTTCGTGGAGATGATCTATTAGCTTCACAAGCACAAAAAAGTCAGTGTCTTCATTATTTATATTTTTAAAAGCCAAACAATTCAGCATATTCGTGATAACTTTGAGGATTAGATACATTTTCTTAACATTTTTTCCCTTTTTAATGTTATGATAATGTACTTTAAAATGATGAAAATCTCAGCAGTGTGAGTATGGCTTGTCAAGGAGCAGTGTGTTCACAGCAGCATTTGCTACCTTCTTTCTGTCTCCCAGCTTTTCTTATCTCTTGCTTCTCCCTTTCCCTGTTCATACCCTCCCCAAACAAACAAGAGGTGGCAAACAGCAGTCCAACCAAGCCCTTTGGAATTATCCTTAGTTTTATAGATGCCATTGGCTCCAGGCCATGAGCCACAATGTCCAAAATTATTCTTGAGCACTGATATAAACTACTTAGACCTTCTTTGAGGTCAGAACTCAGCTATTGCTATTAATGATGGGCAGTGCCTGAATGAGGAAAGGGTTCTGTTGTGTCTTCAAAATGATTCCTAATGAATTGACTGAGTGCTTACAGGTAAAGGTGCATAAAACATGTTTCTGACCAGAACAGGTAACCCTTTCACATGAGCTTTAGACTCTGGGAGAGAAAAGCAGCCAAGTACTTCAGAACTGTTTTTCAATATTTATTTCATCATGGAGAATTTATAAAAGTTCAGACAGTTCTCCCCAAATTTTTTAATCGTCTTAAAAAAAAAAATCACCTTTTAAAGCAATAGATTTCACTTGGGTTTCTTTTCTACAAAATGCTATGAAGAGAAGGCATTGTAAAAGTCAATTTCCTTTAAGAACCAACTGGAAAAAAATAAATTGACAGCATGAAGAAAACTGTTGTAGCTAGTAGACATAATGATATCTAAAGTTTACCAACAAAAGAACCCTCACAGAATAGCAAATACTCCTGCTCTGTACATTTGAGGTCGAATTTGAATATGGAAATAATTTCCTTGCAAGCCCCTAGAGGCAGATCAAAGAAAGCTTGCATTAAGAGGGAAAGGAGAGAATGAAAATAAAAGTCACTATAATGCAGATTTATGCCTTATTTTTTAGCGTTTCTAAAATGTTGGGTCTTTCGAGCTGTTTTTGCTTTTTATTAGATCTATATAAATAAGTTAACTAGCAATTTAGTTTTGTATTTAAGCTACAATTAATCTTTTTCTTTGGTGATATTTATTTCTTTGCCTTTTTTTAACTTTGAATTTTTAGGTGTTTTGTTGAGTATTTAGAGCTTCATCACCATGGCAATATGTATTTCCCTTGAAACGTTGCAAACAAATATACTAGGAGTGCACCCTTTTAATCTTTACTAGTTATTGTGAGATTGCTGTGTAAGTTAATAAACACATTTGTAAATACATTGTTTGCAGGGAAAACATTCTGAGTTCTAGCTCAGGAGAAGCCTGCTGAGTTTATGTTGTAAGCATTAACACAGTATAAAGATGAAAAGACAACAAAAATAACTTCACACTTCCTCACCTCCTCATTGCAACAAAATCCTTAACTGGGAAAACCTGACCCCTTCTCCTCCTCTTTCTCCTCTTCTCACTCACTGTCACCTTGTAATACTTGGAGAGCACTTGGATTATGGATCTGAATAGAGAAATACTTTCAGATAATCATTAGCCCACATACCCTGTAACTTATACTCAAAGATGGGATGGAGTTGTAAAGTGCTTTTATAATACATATTACTGTTAAAGCAAGGATTGACTCTTTTGTTTTATTTTGACATGGCATGTCCTGAAATAAATATCAATTCAACATGGCAGATGGTTCACATTCTTTATTTGAAGGAATTGTGATTTCTGAAAAGGGGGGTGATTGTCTTCCTAACTGTTGCATTTGATTCTTCTTATGTTATCTTTGAAAGTAACCAGTATGCAGCTTTTCATTTGGCTTGGGGTTCTTCAGCTGAAGCAGTAAAGTGTATTCACAGTCTCGATTTTTTTTTTTTAAAACACAATTTTGCTGCCAAGTATATATATAAATAAAACACACAAAAAAGTTACTGACTTGGTTTCCCATTCCTGCCAGTGTGCTGAGTATGCATATGCTTCTTCCCTTCTAGAACTATAAAATGCACTTGAAGTAAAATAAGTAAATGAATAACAAGAACAGACGTAAGGGGAACAGGGAGTCTGAAATCTTTTCAAGGTGTGAGAGAGAGAGAGCCCTTACTGTGGTAGCAGTTGGCAGGGTAAACCAGTCGCGCACCAGATAGGACATTTTGGTCAGTGGTGGACCACATATCAAACAAGGTCTCATACAGTTCCAACTGAGCTCAAAAATGATGCCGGGTGATTCTACAAAACATCTGTTGTCTGTGCTAAAGTTAGTATAATCTGTTGTGTGTTCAGTCACATAAAAGTAGAGTATATACAATTATGTATAATACATGATGGCAATAATAAATATCTGTATTGCTGTTTTACTTACTGTTATTTTTATTTATTTATTTATTTTATTATTATTGTTTTGTTTTGTTTTTCGAGACAGGGTTTCTCTGTGTAGCTTTGCACCTTTCCTGGATCTTGCTCTGTAGACCAGGCTGGCCTCGAACTCACAGAGATCCGCCGGCCTCTGCCTCCCGAGTGCTGGGATTAAAGGCGTGTGCCATCACCGCCCGGCAACTGTTATTTTTAAATGTAGTTCTGCTTACCAAAATTATACCAGCCAGACCCTTCCACATGTGGTCACTATGTCTCTTGGTCATAGCGTTCTTTTTTGTTAAGCTTGTGGTGTTGTGTTGATTATGACAGCAGCAGGGAGTAGACGGTACCACACACAGACTTTATAGCTAGGTTTGTGTCATAAGTTATACCATGTATACTCTGATGTTGACTTGGTGAAGAGATTATGTTGCTCTTAGGCAAGGAATGACTAATTACTTTTAGCTGACACAATGATGCGTATGTGTAAATGCAGTACTAAGAAGCCTGAGGCAGTAGGATTGTGAGTTCAAGGTTGGCATGGGTTATAAAGTCATAGGTTGGGGGGGCACATGACCTCGCAAGCAGGGCTTCTGACCACACTAGCCCGTTGCTGGTTTTAAACCTGAGCTTTAACCAGCTGTGGCAGGGCACGCCTTTAATCCCAGCACTCGGGAGGCCATAGCAGGTGGGTCCTGAGTTCGAGGACCACCAGAGCTACACAGAGAAACCCTGTCTCAAAAAGCCAAAAATAAATCAACTTAAGGTTTTTTGGAACTCTAGCATATTTTTAAACCATTCAGATAGAATTGAACGCATAAAACAGTTCTTATGACCCCAGAGTCTGAAGTATTTACTCTCTGGCCATGTACAGAACAAAGGAGATCCCTGCCTTGGATCAGGCACATCTGACTCTGCTGCCCCGTTACAGAAATAGAGGCCACAGGCCGGAGAACTTACAGGGCCGCTGTCTGCAGAGCTAGCGTTAGTGTACTACAGTTACCACGAGAAAGAAGTGTTGATGAAAACAGGGACATTACTGCAGTGAGATGAGGCTTGGGGATTGGCCCTGTGGTTTGTGGACCTCTAAGATTTGCCCCCTCTACTCAACTTGATACTATGGTCTTAGATTTTTCTTTGGGCCGCCAGCTCCCAAATGATGACACAGAGACTAGTTATGAAAGCTCAGCCTTAGCTTAGGCTTGTCCCACTAGCTCTTATAACTTGAATTAACCCATTTCTATTAATCTGCATTCTATCACGTACCACCCATCCTGCTTCTTCCATGTCTCCTCTCCATCCCTGGTCCCTGGCTGGCGACTCCGCCTTCTCACCTATACCTCTTGCCTAGCTATTGGCCCTTCAGTTTTTTATTACACCAATCACAGCATACATTTTCACACAGTGTACAAATACCCCACAGCATGTTCATTCTCAGTGCCTATGCTTGAGACAGATGACAGCTTCCTCAGTGTAGAGGTGTCTCATTCTCAATTCATGAATCTAGCTTCTAGCCCTGGCTGCCCTATGTGTTCCTTTCTTTGGCTTAAATCCGTTTTAGCAGCGATTTCTGCTACTTGACAGCCTCCAGAAGCCTGATGCGGTTCTGTTTGTCCCTCGCCACCAGGTTTCTATGAGAACAATTAATTGGTCCTGCTAAGGTAAGGAAGCTACTGTGGAAACAATCCTAACTCAGGAAGCTGAGAGGGTAGCTCAGTCAGCAGAGTCCTTGTCACACAAACATGAGGACTTGGGTAAAAAGCTGGGTGACACAGCATGAACCTTTAATCTCAGCCATGGGAAGGCAGAGACAAGAGGATCCCTGAAGCTTACTGGCCAGTCAATTTAGCCAAACTGGTGAGACATGTCAAAAATAAGGTGAAGATTGATAAAGACACTCCAGCTGTTGACTATGGCATGCGTGTGTGTACAGTCATACAAATATTCTAACATCAGAGGTCTCAGCAGGTAGTGCCAGCCCTGGATTATCCATCAGCTCAGAGCATAGAACAGAGACCTTAGCATAGCCTCTCCTTTTGAGTCCTCAGAGATGGCCAGCTTCCATCTGCCGTGTTATGGGTAGGGAAAGCGAAGTCTAGAAATGAGTTGTCACAGCCAGGCGGTGATGGCACACACCTTTAATCCCAGCACTCGGGAGGCAGAGGCAGACTGATCTCTGTGAGTTCGAGGCCAGCCTGGTCTACAAAGTGAGTTCCAGGAAAGACACAAAGCTACACAGAGAAACCCTGTCTTGAAAAAAAAAAAAAAAGAATTGAGTTGTCACAAATTCTTCTGCACACATGCTGTCACCAATTCCATCCAACTTCATAATGCGCTCTATCAGTAAATGGTGGGTCACAGAGATGCCCTGAGGAAACAGGACATCCCCTGGAGGAACAAAAGAAGCAGAGCCAGTTCTGGGGACAGTCACGTCTTTATTAGTGTGTGCAGCTGAGCCAATGGAGCCTACCCTCATCTACAGGGAATGCTAGTGGGGATACTAGCTACCGGTCGAGGGATTTTAGCTTTTCTCTTGGCAACTGGGACAGGGTAGTGGAAGAGTGTGGAACAGGATCAAATGGAGAGATTGCTTGCCACATACAGGCAGGCACATGAGGGGTTCCCCAGGATGGTGCCAAGGTGGATCAGGCACCAGAGTGAAATAATGCCACCCCAGAGTGAAGGAAGAGAAAAAGCCTCAGATGGTAACAGTCACAGTAGAGCTGAGCTCCTGGGATCAGAAAGGCATTTCCTAATGGAAGCAACTTCCTAAGGCTGGAGGTCCCAAGGAGCTCACCTGTCCCACAGCCAGGAAACCCAGGGGGTTAGCTCAACTATCATGGGGAAACTAGTAGTGGGAAGACGGTGCCAAACTTCGTGTATGGAGAAAGAATATGTGCCAGTACTAACAAAACAGGCAAGATACTCATTATAGTTCAAATCGTGAAACTTTGCTCCATAAAATGCTCATCACCTTTATCCAGCAAGCTCCTTGGCCTGGAGGACACCACAGTCCAAACCCTGCCTCAACACCAAGCCAACTGTATTCTTTGATTCTTTAGACGAGTCAGGATGTTCTCTACTCATTCTTGCTGCCAGCGGCACCCAGGCTGCCTTGCTCCTTGCCCCCGCGTGTCTTTGTCAGACTAGTAACTAGCTTTGTTGTTTTCTTGTGATCTCCATCCCTCAGACACTTGGAGCCAAATGAAGTCATGTTTGCTGTATCTAGAAGAAATAGCTCTGCGTGTGGTTTATGGGGGTGCTTGGCAATAGGTGAGGATTTCAGCCAAGTCTGCCTAAGATGTTAGCTTCCTCTGAGAGGGAAGGAGGCTAAGTGCTGAGAGGAAGGGGCTAGGGTGGAGAGCTTAATGGAAGGGAAAAGGTCAGAATGAGAGACAGGGTTTAAATGGTAGGTAGCAGAGGGTAGTCCAAGACCCATAAAGGGGTCTTGTGTTCTACATGCACTTGCAGAGGTCAGAGCCCCAGGGCTCAGAACCAGCAAGGCGACCACATGAGGGAACCGAGAGCAGCACCCGTGGCAGCCCCGGCAAGCATGCCCATGGCCAAAGGGGCGCCCGAGCTGTAGCAGGGATCCTCTCTCACTATCACGTGTGTCACACCAGGGCCTGTAAGAAGAGCCAGAGGGTCAGGGTCAGCCCCTGGGATCCTAATCCAGTCCCACGTTGAGGTATGAACTCATTCTGCTCCGCAACCAGAGGAACAGACTTTGAGCGCACCTGTCACTGAGTCCTACAGGTCAAACACTAAACACTGATGTTTAGTGACCATGGTGCTGGGACTATGCTACAGGACACCTCGGGATCCCTAGGCGCCTGGGGATCTCTGCAATATCTGAGGATGGACACTAGTAACCAAGACCTTGGGAATAGGAAGGTGATTGCCATTCCTGCAATAGCCACCTGGGGTCGCCAGCAGCACAGGAATGTCATTGCTGGGCAGTCTGGCTGAATAGGGTCTGTGGAGGCTGGGAGATCAGAGCAGGAATAGGGATGGCTGTTTAGAATCTTGGAATTCTGAGGATTTGAAAAGTACATGTACCCTAAAAGGGCAAAGCCTAGTCTTCACTGATAGGTCATGGACAAGGTCTGGTGCAGGGTTGTGGTGGGCAGAGGGTAGGCATGCCGGGGGTGCTTACCTGCATAAGGTGGCCCATAGTAGCTGCGGACATAAGTGGCCTCGTGCACGTTGGGGGGCACCACCTCGTAGTAGTCCTGATACGGGCTGTAGACGCGTACCTGGGAAGTCCGGTCAGGTCAAATGCCCAGGAACTTCCTGGTCTGGGTTTGGTCCTGACCCCTTCATTCTCCTGTGGCCGC